GAATTCGAATTATTTTTACCAAAAGTGTACTAAAAGTTGTAAAAAAGTTATTTTTACTAAAAGTTACGTATATTCGTAAAAATATTCGTGCAATAACAAAGACAATTTTCAAATCATACCTGTCTATCATTTCGCGCCACTTCTATCATTTTGTAAATGGCTGAACGTGTTTCTAACATTGTTCTGCACACTGTATTCAATACCTTTTCTGTTTCAACAGAGTTAAACGACTTTTTGTATTCACGGTGTATATTCACAGGTTATTCAATTAGAGTTTTTTCGATTTTATTGAAAACTCTCGTTACAGCGTTTCAAAAAATATCCAGAATATCTGTTTAAATAATATCTGTTAAAATCTGTTTAAATCTTATTTAAATAATAACTATTTTTGTATCTACATATATGTTTATTTTTAAGTTTAAATACGTCTGGAACATACACGTTGCAAATTGCTTCTCTATTGCTACGTGCGTGAGTACGTAATTTTAAACTGAACCAAAACATTGGTTGCCACGGCAGGTGGTAACTTACCACACGCATCACTTAATCTGTTCCATTTCAAATCAATTATCTGTTATAATTGAAATAAAGTTTTTTCTTTATGAATTTTGAACACATGTAAAATTTACGCAAAACATCGAAATGAAAGATTCGCGTGCACAAAATTTTTTGTATTAAATTGAACGTTGCAATATTGCAATATTTTTTTAATTTACATACATTGAAAAATATTGATAAATTAATGTGATGGTTGAATAAATCTTTGTAAACAGAGTATTATAGTTATTATTACGCAAAATTGAATTTGTACGTAAATATTTAACGTCGTTCGCTGATTCGTCGCGTATTGGTTTCCGGTATAGGTTATCTGTCTTTTTAAGTAAAATGGCGCCCAAACCGAAACCTACAGATAAAACAGGTACATCAAAAAGTTGTTTATAACGATTAAACTTTGTCTGAGAAATTTGAGAAACGTTTCGTGGATCTGTAGGGAATGATTAGTAAGAACTTGCAAAAGTGAATGACGCGAAATGTTTAATTAACAAGCACGTGTTCAATTTCAACCTTCGCCATGTGGTTTGTTTTTTATCCTGTGTTTAGAAAAAACTATCAATACGTATATAATTATATTGTCTTCCTGTATTTCTGGAATATTTGCTTACTTTGGCAAAGAAAGCGTCAAACGGATTAAATTTTTTCTCCTTCTTTGCAGTATTAGATGGAATGGAGCTGATTTTGTTACATTTGAGGACATAGTTAACTTTTTTTCTGCCTTTTTTTCAGCTACTAGTTCGTTAGTTGGAAAAGATAAAGATAAAAATAAACAATCAGTATAATTAAACTACCTATATCTTATATTAATTAATTAAACATCGTAACACGTTTCCAACATATTGTAAATAATTTCTAGGTTATGTGAAACATATGAAATCATTGTTGAAAATGACCTTTTTAAGTAGATTCCTTCAAATTCGTTGTTTGAACAGATGCTGGCAAAACAACCAGTTCTACAAAGCCTGCAACAAAACCAGCAGCAAAAGCTGCACCTAAGGTTGCAGCAAAGGCTACTGCCAAAGTAGCTGCGAAACCTGCTGTTGCAAAATCTAAAAAGACGGCAAAGCCTGCTCCCAAAGTCGCTGCGAAGCCTGCGCCTAAAGTTGCTGCAAAACCTGTAGTTGCAAAGTCGAAGAAAACTGTTCAACCTGTGAAAAAGATCTCCAAAGGTGGGAGACCAGCTGCTCCGCTTCAGAAGGCACTTAAGGCTCAAAAAAAGGTTAATGAAGTTCTGAGAAACAAGTTTGATCAACTTGACAAATTATGTGAATATCTATGATGATCTATAGGGAATCTCATTGAATGACTATGAAAAAAATTTATTTCGTTGCTGATATGTTAAATTGTATAAAATAAGTAACATTTTGAGATAATCATGTAAATAACATAATGTATTTATTTGTAGATATTGAAAGGTGTTCATGGATCTAGAGTGAGAAAGATAAGGACATCTGTCCACTTCTATCGGCCAAAAACATTCAGGCCACCAAGAAATCCCAAATATGCTAGAAAATCTGTTCCAAATAGAAACCGGTATGCATTAAATATTTCTTTATGTTAGTTTTATTTATACCTATCTATTAGTTCATAGAATTGGTTTTAAAGTGATTTTCTTTTATACAGCATGGATGAATACAATATCATCAAGTATCCATTGACCACTGAAGCTGCGATGAAAAAGATTGAAGACAACAATACATTAGTTTTTATCGTGCATACTCGTGCTAACAAATACCACGTCAAAGCCTCTATCAAGAAACTCTACGATGTTGATGTGGCTAAAGTCAACGCTTTAATTAGGCCGGATGGTAAAAAGAAAGCGTATGTACGTTTAACCCGCGATTATGATGCACTTGATGTCGCCAATAAAATTGGTATAATATAAATGTATCTGATTGTTGTGAAAGAAAAAATATATTAATATATTAATATATTAATTAATATTTAATTAATAAACGCATTATAAAACAAAAAAATCTTAAAGTTCTAATATTATATTCATAAGTCTGCGAACTGGAGCGTCTTAGAAGCACATGCGCGAAAGTTGTTTTACGCGGCACGTTGGCATGGTTAAGCAGTTGTCATGACCTTTAGGATTGGTAGAAAATTGGTGTGTATAGATGAGACAATTATATTTCACGTTCAGGATTACGGTAATAGGACAATATCGGACGAAGATACACGAATATAAATACGGATAATCACAGTGCTCGCGGCTAAAAGACGGGTCCCCGCCGATGCGAACCTCTTTTATGGCCTTTCGTACGCGAGTCCTAACCAATCAGTTTAAACCACAGTTTCCTTGGCGTAGGTCGATTAGAATCACAGATTCGAGGGCATCGACCGAACGATAGGTGCTGACATGACTCATGGATCATTGGCTGGGGAAAGAAAATAAACAAGTAGCACGACAACGTGCTAGTGCGCGGCGGACTTGTTAGCAAAACCGAATCGTTGCCCTTATAATTAACAATACAATATTTGATTTCTTCGTGCGAACAAAAAGTCCAGATCGACCCTCTTTTTTCCTAGACTGTGTTTGTTACAGAGCCTCAGCTAACGTCGGATGCCTGACGTCACACTTCGAATACGATTTTTTGTCTAAGATGAAAAATCGTAACTCGGGATTTATAATGCATCGAGTAGTGTTATGGTGTTGCCGATGTAGTGGCTCGAATTTTTGCCAATTTTAGTCTTACTGTGGACTACTCTAGGCCTTGGACCGCACAAAATCATATTTGACTTATTCTGAACTTCCATACGATAAGGACCCGTATATTCTGCGTCAAATTTCTCTTTCCGCGGTTGCTTGAGGAAGTAAACGTCGTCCCCTGGAAAAATTGTTTTGCGTTAACTTTCTTGCCGTAGTACATTTTCGAACGGACCTTCGCTTGATTCAAATTATCGCACACTCGCTCGACGGATTCGACTATTTTAGTTCACAAATCTCGAAGATAGGTGTCGATTCGTCGCGTGTCGGTTTCCGGTATAGGTTATATGTCTTTTCTAGTAAAATGGCGCCCAAACCGAAGCCTACAGATAAAACAGGTACATCCAAAAATTGTTTATAACAAATAATTGTCTGAGAAACTTGAGAAACGTTTCGTGGATCTGTAGGGAATGACTAGTAAGAATTTACCAAAGTGAATGACGTGAAATGTTTAATTAACAAGCACGTGTTCAGTTTCAACCTTCACCATGTGGTTTGTTGTTTATCCTGTGTATATTTAGAAAGAACTGTCAATACATATATAATTATATTATCTTCCTGTATTTCTAAAATATTTGCTCACTTTGGCAAAGAAAGCGTCAAACTGATTAAATTTTTTCTCCTTTGCAGTATTAGATGGAATGGAGCTGATTTTGTTACGTTTGAAGACACTGTAATAGTTAATTTTTCCTCTGTCTTTTTTTTAACTACTAGTTTATTAGTTGGAAAAGATAAAGATAAAAATAAACAATCAGTATAATTAAACTACCTATATCTTATATTAATTAATTAAACGTTTCCAAGATATTGTAAATAATTTCTAGGTTATGTGAAATATATGAAATCATTGTTGAAAATGACCTTGTTAAATATATTCCTTCAAATTCGTTGTTTAAACAGATGCTGGCAAAACGACCAGTTCTACAAAGCCTGCAACAAAACCAGCAGCAAAAGCTGCACCCAAGGTTGCAGCAAAGGCTACTGCCAAAGTAGCTGTGAAACCTGCTGTTGCAAAATCTAAAAAGACGGCAAAGCCTGCTCCCAAAGTCGCTGCGAAGCCTGCGCCTAAAGTTGCTGCAAAACCTGTAGTTGCAAAGTCGAAGAAAACTGTTCAACCTGTGAAAAAGATCTCCAAAGGTGGGAGACCAGCTGCTCCGCTTCAGAAGGCACTTAAGGCTCAAAAAAAGGTTAATGAAGTTCTGAGAAACAAGTTTGATCAACATTAAACTTGACAAATTATGTGAATATCTATGATGATCTATAGGGAATCTCATTGAATGACTATGAAAAAAATTTATTTCGTTGCTGATATGTTAAATTGTATAAAATAAGTAACATTTTCAGCTAATCATGTAAATAATATAGTGTATTTATTTGTAGATATTGAAAGGTGTCCATGGATCTAGAGTGAGAAAAATAAGGACATCTGTACACTTCTATCGGCCG